GTGGCCACCATCAGTTCTGAGGAAGGGTCACCGGACCCGAAACGTTAACTCTGTTTTCTCCTCCACAGATGCTGCCAGACCTGCTGAGCTTTTCCAACAACTTTGTTTTTGTTCCTGATTTACAGCATCCGCAGTTTTTTTGGTTTTTATAAGATATCCTGTGTCCTTATCGCCCTGGAATTGTGGAAAAGTCACTCAGTGTGGGCACCAGCCTTGCTTCACAATAATAAAATTCCTTGACGTAGGTTTAACTGTAAAGTGGGACCTACAGATATGCAACAAAGTCCTGTGACAATGGGAAACTGGCAAAGTGGCGGGTGTAATCATACTCTTAGTCATATATTAACATGTGCGAGCTGTATAATTGGTACTGTTGGTTATTCAGTGTGCAGTAATTTTAGTTTCACTGTATTGAAACATCTTTGATGCTTAAGTCATCAATTTCTGATAAAAAGGCACTGCTTTTAGTAGCATCATTTTACCCTGATTCAGTTTTTGTCTATGCATCTGACTTGTGCATTGATAAGATTTTAGGTTTTTTAAACCCAAGTTGTTCATGAGTTAACCTTGATATGTCAGTTGACCATATCTTCATTTCATTTGGCCTTACGTGGTGTCCATCAGTGCCATGGTCCTTCAGCTGCATTTCTCAAGTGAAAACAAAGGGAATAAGATTGTTGGTAAAAATGGAGTGACCGTTGGGTACAGAAATGGAATGGTTGATTTGGCAGTTAGGAGACTGCCAAGTGATGAGGTATAGGAACCACTGCGGTGTAATAAGTAAATTGTGCAAAATGGCACACTCAAGGGAAGCAGATGTGGAGGTGCTGGTTTTGGACTGGGGTGGACAAGGTCAGAAATCACATGACACCAGGTTATAGTCCAACAGCTTTATTTGAAAACACAAGCTTTCGAAGTGTAGCCCCTTTGTCAGGTGAATGAGAAAGAAGCACACAGAACACAGAATTGATGAGTAAAATATCAAAGGGTCACAACTGAGGATGTATTAAACAATCCTAAGGTGCTATTAAATCTTTAATCAGTTGGAAGGTTTTACTTGATTAATATGTATATGTAAATCCCTGAATCCCTTTCAAGTCACTACCCTGAGAGAATTAAAGGTTTCATCAGTGTAAAGAAGAGGTAATGTTTTAGGTCAGACAGTGCATGTTAGGTGTGAGACCTTACTGAGAATCATTTGTGTTTTGGTTTGGAGTCAGACTGGTTTTATTTCTAAAGTAGGAATTTATAAAATGCCACATTGACTGTCTATAACAAGCGTGCTTTTTTGAACAAAATAGACTATCTGCAAATACAAATGCACCCCATAGATTCCCGTGTGTTGTGTGTGTGTGTGTGTGTGTGAGAGAGAGAGAGTCTAGTCTGGTGGATGTCACCTGTAGTGCGACATGAGCCCAAGATCCCAGTTGACGCCGTCCTCTTGGGTATCGAACTTGGCTATCAGCCTCTGCTCAGTGACTGTGTTGTTGTGTATCCTGAAGTCAATCCTGAAGTTCTGAGGCCGAATGTCCTTGACTGAAGCAGATAAATTCTTTGGATTTTTAATTAATACTCACATTTAGTGATTTGTCAGAGACATACACTCGGACTCACAGATGTATAAAAACAAACACATTAGTTTCAGTGGTAGTTCAGGATTTTATTACGTAGTTTCAGCTGGCAATTCAGTGAGCATGAAAGCTGTCGATTATTGGAGTTCCATTTCTTTTTGGAAGTGAAGTCAATTTAAGGTGTTTTATATTGCGGTGGAAAATACGGCATTTCAGGATGTATGGCTAGTATTCCTCTCAAATGTGCAGCGCAGCCTTTTCAATACTTTTTTTAATCAACGCTTAATTGGTAGAGTTAAGACTGAAATTAATTTTTCATATATTTGACTTTGGAATGACATAGTAATTAGTATTTAATATAAACAGAGAAGAATTTTTAATAATTCTGTTTCTAACAGTATTCTTTTCTTCACAGATATGTGTTGGTTAGCAAACCCACAGAGTGGACGGACAAACTAAGGGAGAAATTTCTGGAAGGTTTTGGGGTTTTCTTGCAGTTGTTAAAGCGCATGCAGGTTGGTTCAGAATTTTCACTTCAGAAAATAAAAATGTCGAGACAATAACAAACAGGTGATTTGCTCCAAAAAGGAAATAATTTTTAATTTGATACAAATACTCTTTGTGTGTTATGATTAGTATTAAATTTCCTTACCACATGCACTTAATTTTTTTTATGCAAAGACATATAGTTTTTCAGTAATGATTGTCCTTTTATAGCTTCAACGCATCAAGGTAAACAAAACCACAGAGTAACTTTTCAAGTGCATGTCGTCATTTGGGCTTTGATCCATTCCTTCAGGGCTCAACAAGAAGGTTCAAAGCAACTTCCCCTAATCTCCAACTGTGTATGAAAATATCAAATCATAGGCATTTTTAAAAAAAATAAGTTACTACTGGTTTTGGATGGATGAGGTACTTTGGGGGAAACGGATAAGCATTAGAAACTGAAAGCCTTAACTTTAAGGGCGCATGTACAATATAGACAATTTGTTTGAAGTGCAGATGGAAAAACCAGATATGATTTATATGCATGTGATATGTTTTAACAGGTTTAAGAATGGCAATCCATACCGGCGCATAATAAGAATTTAGATGAGCATAGGACTGTACACTGACTATCCATGGATCAGGATGCTCACGAAATCAGCCCCAGACCCGATTGTTGTTTTTTTTTTTTTGTTTTTGTTTTGTTCTCTCCCCCCCAACGGATTGTATCTGTTTTGGTTCAGTAGGAGATTCCTATTATAGCACTAACTGTGAGAGGTCTCTGTACCTATCTTTATGGATAAGAAAGAATTGGTGCACATTGTGCAGCTGAAGTCTTATTTATGACATTGACAGACAAATATTTCCCAGTTCACCTTTGTTAAATTTTTGCATTCATTTAAAAGTCAGTTTTACAGAATTCTGCTACAAAATTCCTTGTGGGCTACATGTAAAAGAGAAGGATTTTATACCATTAGCTAAACTGCTCAGCTTAAGAGACAATTTATGCAAAAAGAGACAAGTCAGTCAGTTTTCCTTACTCCTGGGGATTTGAGCACAGATGGCTTTAGAATCTTTGGAAAGGGGATCATCTGTAACATCAATAGTTTGTTATCTTGAAATTGAATGAGCTTAACGTATACCCAAAATGACTTGAGCGGAGGGAATATGATCAAAGAGAATAACAGTGATCAGTGAAGGATGATATCATCATTCTGGGAGATGAAATAAAGAGAGCAATAGTTAGAGTTGTGTGAAGTCTTTCACAACTTGAGGGTATCCCAAAGCATGCAACTTGAAATTTTATATTTGCTTGAGAGGGAAGACCTATCTTTGCCTTTAATATCAAAAAGTGACTGGTGAGAGTGGTGTACATGTCCTTAACAGTAACGACATGTAAAGAAAGAAGTAGTCGAGACTTGGCATAGACTGGCATTTGTGTAATGTGAATGTTACTTGCCATATGTCAGCCAAAGCCTGGATATTGTTGAGACCTTGTTGCATTTGAACATAGACTGCTTCATTATTTGATGAGTCACCAATGGTGCTAACATATTGCAACATTGGTAAAAATCTCCACTTCTGACCTTTATGATGAAGGGAAGGTCATTGATGAAGCAACTGAAGATTGTTAGGCCAAGGGCACGACCCTGAGGAACTCCTGCAGAGATGTCCTGGAGCTGAGATGATTAACCTCTTCCAACCACGACCATCTTCCTATGTGCCAGGTATGACTCCAACCAGTGGAGAATTTACCCCCAATACCTATTGATTGCAATTTTGCTAGGGCTCCTTGATGCCATGCTTGGTTGAATGTAGCTTGATGTCAAAAGCTGTCACAGTCAACTCGCCTCTGGAGTTTAGCTCTTTTGTCTGTGTATGAGCCAAGGCTGTAATGAGATCAGGTGCTGAGTGGCCCTGGGCAAGTTATTGCTGAGCGAGTGCTGTTTGAAAGCACTGTTAATAACATCTTCCATCACTTTACTGATGATTAAGAGCAGACTAATCGAGTAGTAATTGGCCATGTTTGATTTGTCCTACTTTTTACGTACTGACATACCTGATCAATTTTCCACGTTGTTGCGTAGATGCCAGTGATGTAACTGTACTGGAAGAGTTTGGCTCTGGGAGCAGCAAGTTCAGGAGCATGTCTTCAGTACTGTTGCTGGAATTGTCAGGGACTATAGCCATTGCAGTTTCCAGTGCCTCCAACTGTTTCTTGATATTACATGGAGTGAATTGAATTGGCTGAAGACTGGTATCTGTAATGCTGGGGACCACTGAAGGCAACCAAGATGGACTATCCACTTGGTACTTGTGGCTGAAGGTGGCTGTGAATGCTTCAGCCTTACCTTTTGCACTGATGTGTTGGACTTTTACGTTATTGAGAATGGGAATATTTGTGGGACCCGCCTCCTCCTCTGAGTTGTGTAATCGTCCACCACTCTTTGCTACTGGATGTGGTAGGACTGCAGTGCTTAGATCTGATCCATTGGTTATAGGATCACTTGTTGCTCAAGCTATTTGGCATGCATCTTGTCCTGTTCAGTAGTTGCACCAGGTTGACACCTCACTTTTACGAAAGCCTAAAAGTGCTGCTCTTGGCATGGCCACCTCCATTCTTCATTTTACCTGGCTTGATGGTAATGGTTGAGTGGGGAATATACTGAGGTTGTAGATTGTGCTGGCGTACAATTCTGCTACTGTTGATGGCCATAGCACCTCATGGATGTCCAGTCTTGAGTTGCTAGAGGTGTTCCAAGTTTATCCCATTTCGAACGGTGCGATGGAGGGTATTCTCAATGTGAATGTTAAATTTGCCTCGACAAAGACTTGGCAGCGGTTACTCTTGGACTGTCATGGATAATTGCATCTGCAGCCGGAAAATTGCTAAGGCTGAGGTCAAGTGTATTTTTGCCTCTTGTTTGAGCCCTCACCGCCTGCAACCGACCCGGTCGAACAGCTATGTCCTTTTGGACCCAACCAGCTCGATCAATTGTGCGGCTGCCGAGCCACTCTTATGGTGGACATTTGAAATCTTCTACCCAGAGTACATTTTGGTGTCCTTGCCACTTGCAGTGCATCTTTCAAGTGTTGTTTAACATGGAGGAGTACTGATTCATCACCCAAGGGAGGGTGGTGTGTGGTAATCAACAGGGTATTTCCTTGCCCATGTTTAACCTGAACCCTTGAAACTTCATGTGATCCAGAGTCAATGTTGAGGACTCCCAGGACAGCTCCCTCCCGACTGTATACTACTGTGCTGCCACCTCTGCCCTGCCGTTGGGACAGGATATACCCAGGAATGGTGTCTGAGACGTAGTCTGTAAAGGTATGATTCCATGAGTATGACTGTCAGGCTGTTGCTTGACTAGTTTGTGAGATAGCTCTCCCAATGTTAGGAAGAAAGTACAGGTTTTTATAGGTTTGACAGGTCTCTTTCTGCTTTTCCAGAGCCTAGGTCATTTCAGAGGGCAGTTGAGAGTCGACCACATTGCTGAGGGTCTGGATTAATATGTAGGCCTACAAGGTGAGGATGGCAGATTTCCTTCGCTGGAAGCGTGTTAGTGAGCCAGATGGGTGTTTTGTCAATCAGCATTGGTTTCATGGTCATCATTAGATTCTTATTTCCAGTTTTTTTTTTTTTAATTCAAATTCTACCAGGTGCCATGGCAGGATTCGCACCTGGGACCCCGGAACATCAGCTGAGTTTCTGGGCTATAATAGTCCTTTGATAATACCACTCGACCATCGCCTCCCTCAAAAAGGAGGGAGACAAAAAACAGAATTACAGACTAGTTAGTCTAACATCAGGAGTGGGGAAAATAATAATAGTGTCTATTATAAAAGATGTGATAACAGAACGTTCGGAAAGCATCAGTGGGATTGGATGAAGCCAGCATTTGTTTATGAAAGGCAAATCGTGCTTCATAAATTTGCTGGAGTTTTATCTAATAGAATGGATAAAGGAGGGCCAGTGGATGTTTTGTATTTGGATTTTTGGAAGACTTTTAATATGGTCCCTTATATAACATTATTAGTCACAGACAAAGCATACAGGATGATGTTAATATATTGGCATGGGTCGAGAATTGGTTGACAGACATGAAACAAAGAGTGGGAATAAATAGATCCTTTAAGTGGTAGGTAGAGACTAATGAAGTACCACATGGATCAGCACTTGGATTCCACCTATTTACAATATGTATATGTGACCTGGATGAGGGAGCTAGATTCAACATTTTCAAGTTTGCTGACAATAGAAAACGGTGTTATTGTGAGCTGTGAGAAGGATACAAGAAGACTTTTAAGGTGACTTTGACAAATTGGGTGAGTAGGCAAACATATGGCAGATGCAGTACAATGTGCCTAAATGTGAAGTTATATACTTTGATGTGAAAAACAGAGAGGAGTGGTATCATTTAAATGGTGATACATTAAGTGCGGATGTGCAAAGGCATCTGGGTGTCCTTGTACACCTGTCAATACAAGTGGACAGGCAGGTGCAGCAGACAATTAAAAAGGCAAATAGCATATTGATCTTTATTATAAATGTATTTGAGTTCCCAAAAATAGGAATGACTTTATTGTGGTTATGCAGGGACTTTGTGCAACCACAGCTGGAGTGTTGTCCGTAGTTTTGGCTCCTCTCTACCTAAGGAAGGATATACTTGCTACTGAAGGAGTGCCATGGAGGTGATACTGGGGATGGTCAGACAGTTCTGTGAGGACAAATTGCTTCAACTGGGCCTGTGTTAACAAGAGTTGAAAAAGATGATAGAGGATCCGAATAAAAAGTACAAAGTTTTAACAGGGCTGGACAGACGAGATGCAGAGAAGATGTTCTCCCCTTTGGCGAGTTTAGTACCCCATTCCCACAACACACAGAACAAATGTAAACTACACAGAATCATTGAATACTATCGGGTTTGGGAGCCAACACAATCGCTGAACTCCACTAGCCTTGACATGGCTTGATGATGTCGTCTTGGTGCATTGCTCCCACTTCCTTATGTACCTGTGCTGCTTTGGGGATTAAGCTTGTTGGGGGGATGGGGGGTGTTTTATCGGAACAGCATTCCCTTCTGTCGTCCTCATGTACTATAATATTAGTCCTCCCCGTTCTATTTCTATATGTTTTTATAGTGCTGCACAAACCTTTCAATTCAGTTCTCTGTCCCTGAGAGAGAGAGCTTACTACCCTATCCCATTCTTTAAGGACTTCCTCATTATTCAATTTATTCTGAGGCGTATCAAAATCCAAATCATCTGGAATTCATTCTTCATTCTGAGTGGCAGTAACTAATATATGTTAAACTAATATGCCAGGGGAATGGGAACCAATGTAAGGAGTCGGAGAAGAAGGCAGCAAGGACAAAAACAAAAGCTAGAAAAGGGAATAAGAAAAATGATATGCTGAGAAACCAAGGACAAGATTCAAATGGGGCTATTGAGAAAAATAAGGAGGAGATAAAGACTGTTAAAGGGACAAACTTGAAGGCTTTGTACCTTTGATGCACGGGGCATCTGCAATAAAGTGGATGAACTAATCATGCAGATGGATGTAAACAGATATGAAATAATTGAAATTATGGAGACATGGCTGCAGGGTGACCAAGGATGGGGAGCTCAATGTCCCAGGGTATTCAGTATTTACAAAGGAGAGACAAAAAGGAAAAGGTGGCACAGTGGCAATGCTGGTTAAAGAAGAAATTCTCACAATAGTGAGAAAGGATATCAGCTGTGACAATGTGGACTCTATGGGTACAGTTGAGAAATACCAATGGGCAAAAAGCGTTAGTAGGTGTCACATAGACCCCCAAACTGCAGTGGTGATGTCGAGAATGGCATTAAACAGGAAATTAGAGATGCATGTGATAAGGCAATATTGGTGATCATGGGTGATTTTAATCTGCACATAGATGGGGCAAATCAAATTAGACAATATGCCACAGAGGAGGAAATCCTGGAGTACATACGGGATGTCTTGACAAACATGTGGAGGAACCAACTAGAGAGCAGGCCATCTTAGACTGGGTACTGTGTAATGAGAAGGGAATCATTGCCAATCCAGCTGTGAGAGACCCCTTGGGGAAGAGTGACCATAGCATGAAAGTTTTTTTTATCAAGATGGAGAGTGAGGTTGTTGATTCACAGTCTAGGGTGCTGAATCTTAATAAAGGAAACTACGAGGATATGAGGTGTAAGTTGGCCTTAATAGATTGGGGAGAGTTACTTAAACGGATCTCAGTGGATAGGCAATGGCAAACATTCAAGGAGGAACTGCAACAACTCTTTATTCTATTCTGGCACAAAAGCAAGATGGGTAAGAGGGCCAATCCATGGCTTGCAAAGGAAATTAGAGATATTATCCAATCCAAGGAAGAAGCATTCAGATTGGCCAAGAAAAATAATGTATCTGAGGATTGGGAGCAGTTTGGAATTCAGCAAACCAGGACCAAGGCCTTGATTAAGAAGGGCAAAATGGAGTACAAAAGTAGGCTTGCAGGGAACAAAGACTGATGTTAAGAGTTTTTATAGGCACGTGAAGAGAAAGATATTGCTAAAGACAAATGCAGATCAGAAACAGGGGCATATATCATAGGGGACAAAGGAATGGCTGAGGAACTGAATACATACGTTGGTTCTGTCTTCACAAAAGAGGACTCAAATCAGATACCAGAATTGTTGGAGGAGGCAAGATTTAGTGAGAGGGAAGAACTGAGGGAGATCAATATTAGTAGAGAAATGGTGCTGGGAAAATTGTTGGGATTGAAGGCCACTAAGTCCCTGGGGCCTATAATCTACATCCCAGAGTACTTTAGGAAGTAGCTCTAGAAATAGTGGATGCATTGGTGGTCATCTTCCAAGATTCTGTAGTCTCTGGAACAGTCCCTGCAGATTGGAGGGTGGCTAATGTTAGTCCAATATTCAAAAATGGAGGTAGAGAGAAAACCGGGAATTATAGACTGGTGACCCTAACATCAGGAGTGGGGAAAATTCTCGAATCCGTTGTCAAGGATTTTATGGCAGAGCGTTTAGAAAGCAGTGGCAGGATGAGACAGAGTCAGCATGGATTTATGAAGGGGAGATCGTACTTGAGAAATTTGTTGGAATTCTAGGAAGATGAAACTCATTGACTGACTCCCCCTTGTCAACTCTGTGGTATATTTGGACTTCAGAAAGCATTTGACAAAATCCCATCTAAGAGATTATCGTGCAAAATTGAAACGCATGGGCTTGGGGGAAGTGTATTGAGATGGATAGGAATTGGTTGGCAGAGAGGAAACAAAGAGTAGGAATTAATGGGTCCTTTTCAAATTGGCAGGCACTAACTAGTGGAGTGCCAGAGGGATTGGTGCTGGGACCCCAGCTATTCGCAATATTTATTAATGATTTGGATGAGGGAACATACGTAACATCTCCAAGTTTGCAAATGTGGGAGGGTGAACTGTGAAGAGTATACAGAGATCCTTTAGCATAGAACATAGAACATTACAGTGCAGTACAGGCCCTTGGGTCCTCGATGTTGCGCCGACCTGTGAAACCAATCTGAAGCCCATCTAACCTACACTACTCCATTATCATCCATGTGTTTATCCAATGACCATTTAAATGCCCTTAAAGTTGGCGAGTCCACTACTGTTGCAGGCAGGGCATTCCACGCCCTTACTACTCTCCGAGTAAAGAACCTACCTCTGACATCTGTCCTATATCTATCACCCCTCAATTTAAAGCTATGTCCCCTCATGCTAGCCATCACCATCCGAGGAAAAAGGCTCTCACTGTCCACCCTGTCTAATCCTCTGATCATCTTGTATGTCTCTATCAAGTCATCTCTTAACCTTCTTCTCTCTAACGAAAACAGCCTCAAGTCCCTCAGCCTTTCCTCAGAAGACCTTCCCTCCATACCAGGCAACATCCTGGTAAATCTCCTCTGCACCCTTTCCAATGCTTCCACATCCTTCCTATATAATGCGGTGACCAGAACTGTACGCAATACTCCAAGTGCGGCCGCACCAGAGTTTTGTACAGCTGCAACATGACCTCATGGCTCCGAAACTCGATCCCTCTACCAATAAAACCTAACACACCGTACGCCTTCTTAACAACCCTATCAACCTGGATGGCAACTTTTTCAGGGATCTATGCACGTGGACACAGAGATCTCTCTGTTCATCCACACTACCAAGAATCTTACCTTTAGCCCAGTACTCTGTATTCCTGTTACTCCTTCCAAAGTGAATCAC